CTTAAAACTTTCTAATTAGTTTGCAGAAAATTAACTTGCATTTCATACTCACCTTAAACTAACTCGTAAAAGTGAAAATGATAAGAGCATTGCTTTAAATTGTTGTGTCTCATCCTGGTCTTTAATTTGTGGTTTATTTTTTCCCCTGACATAGGTAGAGAGAGCATGGCTTTCCATTCGCTGGGTTCATTAGAGGAAGTGGTTCCACTTAGAAGTGTCATTCACACCCGAACGACTACTTTTTGATTTTGATTTTTCTAAAGCAGTTCTAGTGTGTTTGTTTGACTTCTAATATCTAACTGTTCACTTTGCGTCTTATTTTGTTGCAAATAGTTAACAATGTGTCTAGATAAGCTGCCCTAAAGTTTTGCAGAAAGTCTGGTTGCATTTTCTTGGCTTATGCCTTCTCTTCTGTATGCTTTTTGATACTATTCCGTCTTTCCTAGTGTTGTGTCCGGTATGTATGGCCTTTAATTGAAGCTTTCTGTCTTAGGTGAAAAGAGCGTGGTTTTTCCTTCCGTGGATTCGTTTGGTGAAAGAAAGTAATTATGCTTAGAAGGGTTATTCTTTCCAGAATAGTTCCGTTTAGATTAAGTTTGATTTCCCCCCTAATTTTAATTTAAATTGTTTTGGTTTGGCTTCTGATATTTTGGTGATTAATTGGGGGCCTATTTTGTTGCAGCTAGTTAGCAATATGTCTCGATAAATTTCCTGATTTTCACCCAAACTTGGTGACAATGTCCTCCTCGCGCTCACAGTGTTTCATCCAAATTGCATGGCTCTTAATTGTTTTGGTATGACTTTTGATATCTTGGTGTTTGATTGTAGGCTTATTTTGTTGCAGCTTGCTAGCAATGCGTCTTGATAAGTCGCCTATAGTTTAACTAAAAACTTGGTTACTTTCTGTTTGTGCATTTTCTTCTCTACGCATTTGGAGATGATTTTGTGTTCCATAGTATCTCATCCAGAATATATGGCGTTGATATGTGTTCTTTGAGTTAGGTGAAAGGAGCGTGGCTTTCTCTTTGGTTGCTTTCTTTTTGGTGAAAGAATGTGATTCCAATAAAGGGTTACTCATTCCCCAACTTCACCTTTTAGATTGTCTTTTTCCCTCATTCAAGTTCATGTGTTGTTCTTCTTCTTTTGATGTGTAGGTGTTTAATTGGAGATTTGTGTGCAGCTGGTTTACAATGAGTCTTGATGAGTTGCCTAGTTTGTCACGAAAAAATTGGTTACATCTCGCTACTTGTGCCTTTTATCCTGTACGCTTTCGGATGTGATTATACATTATCTATATTGTATCCCGTCCATGTCTTTAATTTGAGTTTGTTTTTGACATCGGTAAAAATAGCATCCCTTACTGATGGTTTCATTTGGTTCAGAGGAAGTGATTCCAATTAGAAGTTTCATTCACTCGCTAATGGCTTCTTATTTTGATTTTTTTTTTTTAAATGCTCAATGTCCAATTGTTTTTGTTTGACTTTTGGAATATTGCTGTTTAATTGTGGCTTTTGTGTCATTCCTGTTTATGCCTTTTCTTTTATACGCATCTTGATATTATTGTTTCTTTTGTAATGTTTCATTTTGAGCTTCTTTTTACCTTGAAGAAAAATTCTAATCTTTTGTTTGAATTTTAATGTATTATTTAATTGTAGGCTTTTTTTCCTCGGTTGGTTAAAGTGTTCCAATAAGGTTCCCTTGAGTTTCATAAAAAAACTATTACATCTTCCTGTTTACGCTTTTCCTCTTCCTTTTATATTCTGAGCTCTGATTTTTCTCCCTAATCTCAACTTGAATCGTCTGAGTTTGGCTTTTGATATTTAGGTGATTAATTGGAGGTTCATTTTGTTGCCGCTGATTACTGTGTCCCGATAAGTTGGCTAGAGTTTCACAAACAATTTGGTTACACGTTCTTTGCTTGTGTCTTTTTTTCTGTACTCTTTTGGAATTGTTTCTGTCCCCCCCCCCCTCATAGTGTGTATGGCCTTCAATTGTAGTGTTGTATGATTTTGGTCAAAGGGAGATTGACATGGTGAACAACATAGGATATTTGATTTGATTCCCTTGCTGAATTGCCTTAATCTGTTTAGTAGGTTTTGGCCATTATCTTGTTTGGGTGCCGCTGGGTTGCAGTCAGAGGCGTGTCAGATTGAAGCTGGGTTAAAGATAGTGGTGTTTACTATATACCATGTCGTAGAATTTATGCATGATTGTGTGATATCTCTCTTATCGTGATATGTATGAGTAGTCTTTTTTGTTTGTAGAAGAATTTATGCTGTTCGAGCATCAAAGTTTCTCATTGTACGTGTATATGGCTTGCAATTGGTATTGCGGTGAGGTAGCTAGTGATTACTGATGTTATACAACATTCTGTGGCGGATGTTTTGTTTTGCCATATTGGGATGATGATCTTAAAGATGCGTACGACTCAGCATTTTTTCCTAACTCCGATTCTTTGAACCTCAATCTAGCTTAAAAGGGTTATTCATTTTGGAACAGTTCCGTTTAGAGTGAGCTTTGATTTTTCCCCTACTTTCATTTTAAATTGTTTCGTTTTCTGACTTTTGTTATTCTGGTCATTAATTGAGGCTCATTTTGTTGCAGCTGGTTGACAGTGTTTCCCTAAAGCTGCCTCATTCTCTCAAAACTTTGGTGATGTCATCCTGCTGATGCCTTTTCTTCTATATATCTTTGGAAATGATTCTGTGTTTCATAGAGTTTCACCAAAACATGTGGTCTTTTTCCTACTTGTGCCTTTTCTTCTGTACGCTTACGGAAATGATTTGTGTTCCTTAGGGTCTCATGTAGAATCGATGGCCTTGATAGTGTCTTTTTTTTTTTTGGGGGACTTTGGAAGAGCATGGCTGTGAGAACTGCATGGCCTTCTCTTTGGCTGCGTTCTTTTTGGTGGAAAAATGTGATTCCAGTGAATCTCTTTGGCTGCGTTCTTTTTGGTGAAAGAATGTGATTCCAGTGAAGGGTCATTCATTCTACGACTTCTCCTATTAGATTTTGTGCTTCTTCTTCTTGTTTTTTTTTTTTTTTTTCCATTTGTTTTCAAATTTGATTTGTCCGTGTTGAAGTTCTGATGTGTAGGTATTTATCTGGAAATGGTTTTGTTGCTGCTGGTTTCCTCCGTGTCTTGATAAGTTGCCTGGTGTGTCGCAAAAAATTTGGTTGCATCTTCCTGCTTATGGTTTTTAATTCTGTCCAGTTTTGCATATGTTTATATATATTTTGGTGTCTCATCATCTTGGTCTTTCATTTGATTTCTGTTGTTGACCGTAGGCAAAAATAGCGTCTCTTTCCTATTGCTGGGTTTGGAGGAATTGACTGCACAGAGAAGTTTCATTCCCAACCCAACGACCCCTCCTCTATTTTTATTTTTTTAAACTAAAAAAAGTTCAGTTATTTTTGTTTGTGTTTGTTGTGACCCAACTTTAATATTCAACAGAACCGAAAACAAAATGACAATAAGGAAGCAGATCAGTCATAAATGAGAGAAATCCTGAGGCTTTGATAATAAAGTTCCAACACTGAATCAAGATACAAAAGGTTCCTCCTGATTCTAGCTCAAAGCCCTATTTCCCTGATTACAAGATAAATCACAACCAGCAACAAAAGATTATACCGGGACTAACAAGACAAACTAATTACAACAGCTTCCCTTTGGCATTCGAGAGGCCAGGTCTCTCCCTAAACACTCTTTTTTCCTCCCCTCTCCATTAGTCCGTCCCCTTACAAAATAAAGGCTGCCCCCCAAAAGAAAACCTACCCACCCTAAAGGGTTTAAGACCCATACTGCTAGTGGCTAGCTGCCACTCAGAGTTGGTCCTCAATTTCTGGAGCTCTGAGGTAGTTGATTTGACCAGTGGTTTCAACTTCTCCCCTTGGTTTTCTCATTTTCCTCCTATAAGTCCTCCTAATGCCAGCGGTTATATCATTTCCCACCCCTACAAGTTCCACCTTGTCCTCAAGGGGAAAGTCTGGAAACTGTCTACTGATAGTGGTGGCGTTTTCCCATGAATTTTCAAATTCCGGCAGACCTTTCCAGTGTACCAGAACTTCCAATTCCCCATTGATGAGTTTCCGAACCTTTCTAATGTCTTGGGGTTGTACTTGCAATTCTAAATCCTCGGACAGTATTGGAGGGAAATGAGGTGTCACAATAGCGGAGAGGACTGATTTTTTCAGATTTGAAACGTGGAAAACCGGGTGAATCCGAGCTGTGGGAGGCAGTTCAAGTTTATATGCTACTGTCCCCACTTTCTCTAGGACTTTAAAAGGGCCATAGAAACGAGGACTTAGTTTCTCATTGAGTCTTCTTGCCAAGGAGCGAAGTCGATAAGGTCTAAGTTTGACATAGACTTGTTCTCCTACTTCAAAATGCACTTCTCTTCGATGCCTATCAGCTTGTCCTTTCATTTTGTTCTGTGCTCTGCTGAGATTCTCTTTCAGGACAGCAATGACTTGGTTCCTCTGCTGAATCTGCTCATTTATAGCTTCCAGAGCTGAAGGTTCATCAACCAATTTCAGGAATGTGGGAGGGTCTCTTCCATAAACAGCTTTAAAAGGGGTCATGTTTGCTGCAGTATGATGTGATGTGTTGTACCAATATTCAGCCCAGGGGAGCCACTGGACCCAATGGTTAGGTTTCTCACTGGTAAAACAGCGTAAGTAAGTTTCCAGCCCCCTATTCAACACCTCGGTTTGGCCATCGGTTTCGGGGTGGTAAGATGAACTAAGGCACAACCGAGTTCCAGCCTGCTTAAACAATTCCTTCCAGAATTGGCTCACAAAAAATCCTATCTCTATCCGATATAATGGATTTAGGGAACCCATGTAATTTTACAATTTCATTCACAAATTTCTCAGCAACGTCTTTTGCTGTAAAGGGGTGTGACAAGGGTAGGAAGTGGGCATACTTTGAAAGTCGGTCCACCACAACCAAGATAACATCATACTTCTTAGACTTAGGGAGCCCGGTAATGAAATCCATGCTAATATCTTCCCAAATTCCTTGTGGGATAGGCAAAGGCTGCAACAACCCGGCAGGAGAAAGAGCTTGATATTTATTTTTCTGGCACACATCGCATTGAGCTACATAAAGCTGAATGTCCTTCTTCATACCTTCCCAATACACAACGCTGGATAACCTCTTGTAAGTTCTAAGGTAGCCGGAATGGCCCCCCACTGGAGAATCATGATACTCTTTCAGTAGCAAAGGAATTTTAGTGGATTTTTTTGGTAATACCAGCCTCCCTTTGTACTGCAAACAGCCCTTTTCAATGCTGTAGCCTTCGACTTCTTCTGGATTAGTGATCAGTCGCTGTACAATCAATGCTAATTTTGGGTCAGATTGCACCTCCTTTTCCCAGTCTTCTATTTCATCATATTGCCACATGGAAAACCCCAACATCTCTGCAGATTCACCTTGCCTTGACAAGGCATCAGCAGCCCGGTTTTCTTTGCCCGGTTTGTAGACTATTTCAAACTTAAACCCCATTAACTTGGAGACCCACTTCTGCTGGTTCTCTTCCACAATTCGCTGTTCCAGCAGGTATTTTAGAGCTTTCTGATCTGTCCTGATCACAAACTTATGCCCCCAGAGGTAGTGACGCCATTTCTTGACCGCCATCACTATAGCCATGAGCTCTCTTTCGTACACTGAACACTGCTGAGCCCGGTTTGATAATTTCTGGCTGTAATAGGCTACTGGTTTTCCCTTCTGCACCAGCACTGCTCCCACACCAGTCCCCGAAGCGTCGGTTTCCAGTTCGAAGGGTATGGAGAAGTCGGGCATTGCTAGTACTGGAAGTGTTGTCATGGCTGTTTTGAGCTCTTCAAATGCTGTCTCAGCTTCTTGAGTCCATTTAAAAGCATCCTTTCTCAACAAGTCAGTAAGAGGACTAGCTATTTTACCGTAATTTTTGACAAACCGCCGGTAATAACCAGTGAGCCCTAGGAATCCTCTTAAGGACTTCACATTCTTGGGCTTAGGCCAGTTAACCATGCTCTCAATTTTGGAGGGATCAGCTTGCACCCCTTCTGAGGAGATGATGTGGCCAAGGTACTCAATCTTACACTGCATGAAGCTGCATTTCTTTAAATTGATAACCAGCTGGTTTCTTTTCAAACAGGTTAGTACAATCTCTAAATGTTTCAAATGAGTAGAAAAATCTGTACTATAAATAAGAATGTCATCAAAAAGCACTAGGACAAACTTACGTAAGTACTCTCGGAATACTTCGTTCATCAATGATTGGAAGGTGGAAGGGGCATTGGTCAGCCCAAATGGCATGACTTTGAATTCATAATGGCCCTCATGTGTTCTAAAAGCTGTTTTGTGCTCATCACCCTTTTTAATTCTAATCTGGTGATATCCGGATTTAAGATCCAGCTTTGAAAAGATGTTGGCTCCCTTGAGCTCGTCCAACAACTCATCAATGGCTGGAATAGGGAATTTGTCAGGCACTGTAATCTTGTTTAATGCTCTGTAATCAACACAAAACCGCCAACTTCCATCTTTTTTCTTAACCAGCAAAACGGGACTAGAATAGGGGCTATTGCTAGGCTGTATGATCCCTGCCTGCAACATGTCCTTCACCATTTTTTCTATCTCATTTTTTTGTAAATGGGGGTATCGGTAAGGGCGAATGTTTGGGGGCTGTTCTCCTGATCTGGTTACAATTGCATGGTCTTTTGAACGGGGGGGAGGCAAGCCCTCCGTAGCTTGACACACCGTGGGAAACTGTTCCAATAAAGCTTGTATTTCAGGTGCTATCTCCCTTGTTTCTGTCTCTTCATTCGTCAGTCCATTATACTCTATTAAATACACCTCCTCCTTCTTCTTCATTAATCGGATTAAGGATTTGAGGGTCACTTGGCTCTTTGTCAGTGACGGGTCCCCCTGCAGACACACCCTGTTTCCCGGTTTCCCAATCTTCATGGTTAGGCGACTCCAATTGACATTCACATCCCCTAGCGACCTCAGCCACTCAACTCCCAGTACCATATCCACTCCACTTAACGGAAACGGATAAAAGATTTGATTAATCTCTAGACCTTGTACCTTAAGATTGACTTTCGGGCAGCGTTGTCTTCTCCTCAGCCGGCGACCATCCCCTACTGCTACCGTGTATTCAGCTATTTCATCAACTTCAATCCCCTTTTTGTTTACTAATTCTTCAGACACGAAGTTATGGGTGGCTCCACTATCTATCAAAATAATGACCTCTTCTTCCGCTAGCCATCCCCTAACCTTCATTGTGTGATTGCTGCCAAAGCCGGAGATGGAATTGAGTGATAATTCCATCGTCATGTTCCCTCCTTCTTCCATCTCAGTGGCCTCTTCCTCTTTGTCAGTTTCTACCTTCCCGTCCTCACTCTTCTCGGCCTCCAAATCCAGAATCATCACCTGCAAGTTTTTGTTCTTGCAGATGTGGTTTGGGCCGAACTTCTCAGCACATTTGAAGCAAAGCCCCAGCTCTCGTCGGCGAGTGAGTTCCGCGTCGGAGAGGCGTCGACCCATTACTCCCCTTCGGACCGAAGAACTGGAAGCCATCGAGGTGCTGCTCCCTTTCGAGTCTACCCCCTTCGCTTCGTCTCTTTTCGCAGATGCTGTTTCTGGCCGTGGAGAAGAGAACGACGAAGCTTTCTGCGTTTCGGGTAAGTTGGTAATCCGGGTGTGTTGGGTCTGAACCGAATCCATCTTTGGCCCACTCGGGTATCTTTGAAAACGGGTGGCCCGTGTCTCCTTGGCAGCGTCGAGCACCTGGTTTCGTTCTTCTACCCGGATTGCCATCTCCATGACTTCTCGTAGGGAGCTGGCACTGGTCAATCGGAGCTCTGCTCGTATTTCTGGTCTCAAGGCTACTCGAAAGGTTCCTATCAAACTCTCCTCTGGTATGTCGGGCAAGGGAGCGGCGAGGCGCTCAAATTCCTCCACAAATTCCAGGACCGATCGATTCTGTTTCGCTGCATATAGCATCTCATAACTATCCCCAAGCTGCGAAGGGTGGAATCGCCGTAAAGCTTCTCTCTTAAATTCTTGCCAGCCCCGAATGGTGGTTCGAGACTCCACCCATTGATACCAGTTTAAAGCTTTTCCTTCCAAGCAGACAACCGCCGCCTCCAACCTTTCGGCCTCTGGTATAGCATTGACTCTGAAGTACCGTTCAACTTTGAAGAACCATCCCAGAGGGTCCTCTCCGATGAAAATAGGTAGTTCCAGTTTCCTATATTTCCCCGTCTCTCTGTCAACTTCCCCACGGTGTTCATTGGTTTCCTCGTGGTTTCCCCCTCTCCTCTGGCTAGTTGATTCGGCACCATCTCTCGGTCTGACCAACTGTTCAATCGCCTCTTGTATCCGGTTAACAGCCCCCTTTAATATATTCATATCTCTGGACAAACCCCCAACCGTCTCCCTTAACTCCTGTACTTCCGGATTCGTGTATTGTATTTCCTCCCCCATTACTGTTTCAACTAACGTGGCCCCAGAATCGAACGCTCTGATACCAAATGTTGTGACCCAACTTTAATATTCAACAGAACCGAAAACAAAATGACAATAAGGAAGCAGATCAGTCATAAATGAGAGAAATCCTGAGGCTTTGATAATAAAGTTCCAACACTGAATCAAGATACAAAAGGTTCCTCCTGATTCTAGCTCAAAGCCCTATTTCCCTGATTACAAGATAAATCACAACCAGCAACAAAAGATTATACCGGGACTAACAAGACAAACTAATTACAACAGCTTCCCTTTGGCATTCGAGAGGCCAGGTCTCTCCCTAAACACTCTTTTTTCCTCCCTCTCCATTAGTCCGTCCCCTTACAAAATAAAGGCTGCCCCCCAAAAGAAAACCTACCCACCCTAAAGGGTTTAAGACCCATACTGCTAGTGGCTAGCTGCCACTCAGAGTTGGTCCTCAATTTCTGGAGCTCTGAGGTAGTTGATTTGACCAGTGGTTTCAACTTCTCCCCTTGGTTTTCTCATTTTCCTCCTATAAGTCCTCCTAATGCCAGCGGTTATATCAGTGTTTCAGCATCTGACTGTTTAATTTGTGGCTTATTTTGCTGCAGCAGTTGAAACAGTGGGTTTTGTTAAGTTGCCTTGAGGTTTTGCAGAAAAGTTGGTCACATCTTCTTGCTTTGCCTTCTTTTCTGGACATTTTTGTCTGTTTTTCGTAGTTTTTCATTTATTTATTATGGCCTTAATTGGTGCCTTTTGACTTAGGTGAAAACAGCGTGGCTTTTTTTTTTTCCCTGGGTCCGGGGTCGATCAAAGTAATTCCATTCAGAAGGGTTATTGATTTTAGAATAGTTCCTTTTATATTGAGCTTTGATTTTGTCCTTGATTTTTCAATTTCAATTGTTTTTGTTTTCATCACGTTCTTTAATTTGTAGGTTTTTCTTTCTGACATAGGTGAAGAGAGCTTCATTGTCCATTCACTGGGAACATTTGGTTTAGCGGAAGTAATTCCATTTAGAAGTTAACAACGAGTCTAGATAAGTTGCCTTGAAGTTTCTCAAAAATCTAATTACATCTTCCAGGTTATACCTTTTCTTGTACACACTTCTTGCGGGGTATTTCTACCATTATGTATGACCGTTAATTAAAAGCTTTTTGACTTAGTTGAAGTGAGTGTGGTCTTTAAGATTTCTTTAGAGATATTTGTGAAGGAGTTTATGCAAGATTCGGTGGTATTTGTGAGTTATGAACTGTTTCTCTATTTGTGAAGTTCATGTTCCGAGCATCAATGACTCTTATTGAATCTTTTCATGGCTTGCTATTACAGAGAAGGAGCATGATTTATCACGATGACGTTTCCTATCAACATAGGGTTTTTGTTGCAGCTTGTCCGCAGACTGCAACTTCTTAACCAGCAGTCAATCATTCTTACATTCGAGTACTTTTGAGGTGCTTTTATTGGAAGCTTGAATTGGGCCTGCTGGTTAAGAAGTTGTAGTAAGTTGCCTAGTGAATCCAGTATGTATGGCTTTTAATTTAAGCTTTTTGACTTTGGTGAAAAAAGCGTGGCTTTTTCTTCCGTGGGTTGGTTTGGGTGAAAGAAGGTAATCATGCTTAGAAGCTCATTCCAGAACGGTTCCTTTTAGATTGAGTTTGATTTTTCCCCTAATTTTGGTTTGACTTGTGATATTTTGGTGATTAATTGGAGGCCTATTTTGTTGCAGCTAGTTAGCACTTGGTCTCGATGAATATCCTGATTTTCGCAGAAGTTTGTGTGGTCCTTAATTGGACATTCTTGACTTGGGGGAGAAGAGCACGACTTTTCCTTCCCTGGTTCATGTGGGTGAAAAATAGTGATTACAGTTTTATTCATTCCCCTTGGCTCTATTGGAACATATGTGTATGTGCTTTCCACTTTCAATTGTTTGGGTCTGACTTTTTATGTGTCTCCGTTTAATTGGGGGTTTATTTTGCTGCAGCTGGTTAACAATGTGTCTCGATAAGTTGGCTTACTTCCCACAAATTTGATGACATCGTCCTGCTTGTGCTGTATTTCTTCTATAAACTTTTGGAAATGATTTTGTGCTTCATAAATCGTTTGGCCTTAAATTGGACTTTCTTGAATTTTTTTTTAAAAGTATAATTGTTTTGGTATGACTTTTGTTATCTTGGTGCCTAATTGTAGGCTGATATTGTTGCAGCTTACATTGGGTCTTGATGAGTCGCCTAGAGTTTAACTGAAAACTTGGTTACTTCTTCATGTTTGTGCGCTTTCTTTTTTCCACATTTGGAAATGATTTCGTGTTCCATAGTGTCTCATATGTGTTCTTTGACTTAGGTGAAAGGTGCGTGGCTTTCTCTTTGGTTGCATTCTTTTTTGGTGGAAGAATGTCGTCCTAATGAAGGGTTATTCATTCCTGTTCTTCTCCTTTTAATTTGAGCTTTTTCCCCATGTATTTGACATAAGGGTTTTCATTCCTGAAATTATCCGCTTTAGATTTTGTGTGTGTGTGTGTGGTTTTTTTTTTTTTTGGGGTTCCTTTCAAGTTCATGTGTCCTTCTTTTCGATGTGTAGGTGTTTAAATGGAGCTTTGTGTTGTTGCAGCTGGTTTACAAATGTGTCTATCTTGATTTGGTTACACCTTGCTGGTTGTGGCTTTTATCCTGTACGCTTTCATTTGGGTGAACGGAAGTGATTCCACTTGGATGGGTTATTCACTCCCCAACTCTTTCTTTTAGATCTTGAGCTTTGATTTTTCCCCTAACTTCAATTTGAAGTGTTTGCTTTTGATATTCAGGTGACCAATTGGGGATTCAATTTGTTGCATTTGGTTAATGTCTTGATAAATTGGCTAGGGTTTCACAATCAATTTGGTTACATGTTCCTTCTTATGCCTTTTCTTCTCTACTCTTTTTAGAATTGTTTCTATTTTTCATAGTTTGTCATCCAGGATTATGGCCTTGAAGTTTTTTTCATAGTTTGTCATCCTAGAACTTCCAGCAAAATAGAAATGGAACAGCGCTTTTCCCTCAATTTTAGTCATGATTTGGCCATTGAAAAAGCATCAAATTAAAGCCTAAACATACCTTAAGGAGTCTTGGATTAAAGCTTGATGATTAGCCTTGGATTGGAAGTGGTTTGAAGGGTATTTGGAAGCCAAGAAATAGTTGTACAGAATCTCCCCTCTTTTGTCAATTTTTGTCCGAATTTTGAGTGAATTATGGGGGTATTTATAGACCTCATTTGCTGTCCAAAAACCTACCCTTGGGCAGCTATTTCTGCCCCAAAATTAAGTGCATAAGTCAGTCAAAATGAGGGGGCAAGAAAAAATAGGGATTCATCATGAAAAGAAATGGAATTTTTGAAGCTCTTAGCTATTTTTCCTAATAGGGGGCAAGAATTTGGGTATTATGTGAGCAAATGAATTTTTAAATTATCCTAATCAATTCCATTACTTCCTAACCAATTTTTCCCATTTAGTTCCCTTCTAACTAAGCCCAAAACCGTGCTCTCCAGCCCAAGAAACATCTGGAGCAAGTGGGTGGAAAAATCTCAACTATTGGATCAACTCTCTTGAAATTAAGTCAAAGCATGTGTGGCTGAGATTGGCCCCTCATTTTGGCCGACTTATGCACTTAATTTTGGGGCAGAAATAGGTGTCCAAGGGCAGGTTTTTGGGCAGCAAATGAGGTCTATAAATACCCCCATAATTCACTCAAAATTCGGACAAAAATTGCCAAAAGAGGGGAGATTCTGCACAACTATTTTCTTGGTTTTGAAATACCCTTCAAACCACTTCCAATCCAAGGCTAATCATCAAGCTTTAATCCAAGACTCCTTAAGGTATGTTTAGACTTTAATTTGATGCTTTTTTAATGGCCAAATCATGACTAAAATTGAGAGAGAAGTGCTGTTCCATTTCTGTTTTGCTGGAAGTTCTAGGAGAGGATAGTAATTTGAGTTATGAGCTTGTGTATTATGGAAAGGAAACCTCTTAGGGTGCAAGAACATTGTTTCGGCCAAATCAAGAACTCAAGGATGGTATTTGATTCCATGTGTTTTAATGGTTCCAATGCATTTGAAATGTGATTTTGTATAGGTTTGTGCTATGAAAGTATGTTTTACTTCACTGGAATCAAATGTGGAAATTTAGGAACCTAAGGGGAGGTGTTCGGCCATTTAGAATTCATGGACTTAGGATTGGATCTTGATGGTTTTTAATGCTTCCAAATTCAATTTCTCCATATATCTCTATACAAAAACACCCAAGGGACTCTGTTTCATAGTGTCTTATCCAAATTTTATGGCTTTCAGTTCGACTTGTTGGCTTTTTTAAGTGTTCGATTTTTAATTGTTCTGGTTTGACTTTTAATATCTTGGTCTTTAACTGGAGCCTTATTTTGTTCCGGCTTGCGTTCCGAGGGTCTCACAAAAAAATTTGGCTACATCTCGCTGCTTGTGCTTTTCCTTCTTTACTCTTACGGAAATGATTTTATGTTCCTCAATGTCTCATCCAGAATTTATGCCTTGATAGGTGTTTTTTCTCTCCTTGGAAGAGCATGGCTTTCGCTTTGGCTGCTTTCTTTTTGGTGAAAGAATGTGATTCCAGTGAATTATTCATTCTGCAACTTCTACTTTTAGATTTTGTGCTTCTTCATCATTTTTATTTTATTTTTTAAAATTTCATTTGTTCTTGTTCAACATCTGATATGTAGGTATTTATGTGGAGATTTCTTTTGATGCGGCTGGTTCGAGCTGTGACTTGATGAGTTGCATGTGTCACAAAAAAATTTGGTTATTCTGTCCACTCATGGATATATGTTTATATTTATACATATTTTGGTGTCTCATCATCTTGGTCATTGATTTGATTTTTGTTGTGACATAGGTGAAAATGGCATCCCTTTCCTATCGCTGGGTTTAGAGGAATTGATTCCATTGAGAAGTTTCATTCACTCCCTAAGGACTCCCTCCCCCCCCCCCCAAAAAAAAGTTAAATTTTTTTTTAATTGTCTTTCGGGATCTGTCTGTTTAATTTGTTCCTTATTATGATGGAGCAGGTTAACAGTGGGTTTCGTTAAGTTGCCTTAAAGTTATGCAAAGAACTTGGTTACTTCGTCTTGCTTCTGCCTTCCCTTCTAAACTTTTTTTAAATTATCCCGTATCTCTCAATTTTTGTATGTGTATGGCCTTAATTGGTGCCTTTTGCCTCAGGTGAAAACAACGTCCTTGGGTTCGTTTGGGTGGAAGAAATTAATTCCACTTAGAAGGGTTATTCATTCTGGAAGCAGTTCCTTTATATTGAGCTTTGATTTTGTCCTTAATTTTTCAATTTCAATTGTTTTTGTTTGCCATAGTTGAGAAGAGCATTCATCATCGTCTTTAATTTGGAGGTTTTTTTTTTGACGTAGGTGAAAAGAGCATCACTTTCCACTTGGGTTCATTTGGTTTATAGGGGAAGTGATGATTCCGCTTGTCATTCACGCTTGAGTGACTCCTTTTTCATTTTGATCTTTTGAAGGAAAGATTTTGTTTGACTTCTGATATCTGTTTAATTTGTGGCCTATGTTGCAGCAAGTTAATAATGGGTCTAGATGGCTGCCTTGGAGTTTCTCAAACAATCTGGTTACATCCTGTCGTTGGGGGTTCACTCACTCGAGTGACTCCTCTTTAGTTTTGATCGTTTTAAGACAGTTTTTGTTTGACTTTTGATATCTGTCTAATTTGTGGCTTATGTTTCTGCAAGTTAATAAATAAGCTGCCTTGGAAGTTTCGCAAATGATCTGGTTACATCTTCTTGTTGGGTTCATTTGGTTTACAGGAAGTGATTCCAGTTAGAAGTGTCATTCACTGATTCCAGGTGGAAGTGTCATTCAGTCGAGTGAATCCTTTTTAGTTTTGATATTTTTAAAAGATAGTTTGTTTCACTTTCAATATCTGTTTAATTTGTGGCTTATCTTGCAGCAAGATAACAATGGGTCTAGATAAGTTGCCTTGAAGTTTTGCAAATAATGTGGTTACATCGTCCAGCTCATGCCTTTTTCTTGTACACACTTGATGGTACTACTATTCCGTCTTGCGGAGTGTGTCATCCATGATGTATGGCGTTTTGTTGAAGCTTTTTGGCTTAGGTGGAAAGAGTGTGGCTTTCCTTTGTGGGTTCGTTTGGGTGGAAAAGTAATTATGCGTGAAAGGGTGTTATTCATTAGAACAATTTCGTTTAGATTGAGTTTTGATTTTCTCTCCTTTCTGGCTACCAGCATTTTGAACCCGTGTTCAAGCAATTCAGTGCCGAGCAATGAACCACAGTACCAAAAGTCAGCTGGTTGGGTTTGATTTTCCCCTTGCTCTCAATTTAGATTGCTTCATTTTGACCTCCGTGACTTTGGTCATCAATTGAGGTTTTTGTTGCAGCTGGTTAACAATGCGCCTCTAGGGTTGCCTGATTTTCGCAAAAATATGGTGATGTCATCTTGCTTCTGCTTTTCCTTGTATACTTCCTCCGTCCGTTATTATAAAATCTAATTTTTTAAATGGATCTGTTTCCTTTTATAAGATTGTCTTTGAGTTTGTCTGAGTATTTAATGCATTAATACTTATTTTATCTCTAATTTAATACATTCTCTTTTTTATTTGTTTTATTATTATTCTCTCATATTTACTCATTTATATGTAGCGGTATATTTGAAAAAAAATAGTATTTGTTACATATTAATTGTTTTTAACTAATTTAACTATTTTTATAAATCATGTAATTTAGTTAAAATTCTATAATAAGGTACGGAATAGTATACATTTTGGAAATGAATGTGTTTCATGGCGTCTCATCCAAATTGTATGGCCATCGGTTGGAATGTTGGGCCTTTTTGACATAGGTAGGGCGTGGCTTTTCGTTCTTTAAGCGGAGCGCGGCTGTTCTTTTTCCTGGGTACCCGTGGGTGAAGGGAAGGAATTGTACTTGGGGTTTATTTATTGCTGCTGGTTGACGATCTGTTCCTGGTTTTCACTAAAATTTGGTGACGCTGTTATGTTCGTATTTTCACTTTGTAGTTTTGGAGATGACTCTTTGTTTCTTAGGGTCTCATCCAAAATGTATGGACTCTTTGCTGTGTTTTGTCAATGTTCAGTGTGTAATTGTTTTGTTTTGATTTTTGATATCTTGGTTTATAAAGTTTTGGAACGTTAAGATAATGATTATTGGCGGTTAGTGAAATCAAATTAAAGAAAGAGGAAATAATTAAGAAGCTTATTAATGTACATTTATGAATGACAATTTAAGAAGTTAGTTGAGAATCTTCGATAAATTAATAATAGTTAGTGACCTTTGGATAAAAATAATTATTGGCAGCTAAGAAAATCTAATTCTAGGAGAAGAAAATAAATAAATACTCATTTATTAAAAAACCATTAAATTAAGTAACACATATATTACAGTTGTATTTACTGAAAAAAAGGCTTACAGCTGTGAACCTTGGTTTATAAGCTGGCAATAAACAACCCGTTTACTGCTTGGTTACAGCTGTGGTGAGCTTTTATTCCTCTATGCATGCAGGGTCTAGCTGTGATCAGATCTTATAAATAGTTGGGTAGCGGTCCTGAATGCAGCGACGCTAGAACGATTTCCGTTTTTCTTTTGTTACTTGGGTGGAAAGCGGATTTCGGAGAGACTTTTCGTCCCTGGTGAATGAGAATGAGATTGACGTGTTGAGAATAAGATTGAAGATTTTTTTGGATAATAACCGGTTTAATTGGCCTTGATCCTTTGTGGATTCGTTTTGGGGCGTTTAATCGGCACAGAGACGTGGTTGGCTTAGGATTGATGCGAGATTCGGTGATATGTCTCTCTTGCCTGGATATTTGTGAGTGACTGAGTCTATGCAAGATTCGGTGATATTTGTGAATCGTGAAAGGTTTTTCTGTTTGTGATTTGCCTGATGAGTGGCGAAACCACGATGACGTTTCTATCTGTATGGGTTTTGCTGTAGCCTGTCTGCAGACTGCAACTTCTTAACCAGCAGTCAATAATTTTCACATTCCAGTACTCTTGAGGCGCTTCTATTGGAAGCTTGAGTTGGCATTGCCGGTTACTGCTGGTTAGGAAGTTTCAGTAAGCTGCCTGACGAATCCTAAGTTGTTGCGAAAGGGTTTTTTAAAAAAAAAATACTGGAAAATCAATATGGTCGGCTAAAAAATACTGGAAAATCAATATGGTCGGTTATTTTCTGTATTTACGTGATGAATGGCGAAATCATGTGACGTTTCTATGAGTACGGGGTTTTGCTGCTTATCTGCAGGCTGCAACTTCTTAACTAGCGGTCAATGATTCTTACATTCCAGTACTTTTGAGGTACTTCTATTGGAAGCTTGAATTGGCGGTGCTGGTTAAGAAGCTTCAGTAAGCCGCGTGACGAGGGCCAGTGTTGTTGCAAAGATGTTTTTATAGTGGAAAAAAGGGTGTACAAGAAACACAGAATGGAAAATCACATATGGTCGGCTATTTCCTGACTTATCTGATGAATGGGA